TTGTGATATTTCAAATCCTCATTACTAATAGAATCCAAATGATTTCTGGATTGATAGAAAGATCGTAGTCGTTGGCTAGATTCTGTTACTTGAATGAAACTAAATCTTGTGAAATTACATTGAATATCAATCTTAATTCCACGTATCATATAGAGGCGCGATAATAAGTCTATATTTTACGGTTTTTTTTTTTCCTTATTGGAGGGAGTTACCTTGTCGAGATTGATTCTTGAATCCCTTATTGGGGTGTGGAGCTTCATTCTAAGACCATCTCTCATCAAAACCCAATCGGTCTTGTACTCCGTGGATAATTCGGAAGATTGTGAATTTGGAAAGCTTCAAAGAGCAAATCATCGATCTGTCTCAACAATGTAGAACTATATAGAAACTTGCGAAGGATAACCGAAGACACAATCACATCCAAAGGAAACAAATTAATCGACTCGTTTTCCCCTTCTATAGGTAAAATCAAACACAATACAAACGGATGCTCTAAGGAAATTTAAGAATCTGTAAACTTATCAGGAATAACCAATGAAAAATGAATTGCAAGATTTATGAACAATATTGAAAATGTGTTAAGCTTAATATCTGAGCTATGGCCATATTCCGAAGCTTGACATGTCAAATGCATATGTTAAGACGAGGAAATAATTGTGCAGACCATCTTGTCTGTTGTTTTGTGATTCAAATTTCGTGGGATATTCGTGAATTGGTTGAAAGAGGTATTAAAGAGGTATGAGAAGTTTTTGGGCAGCAATTAGGCACATGGGCTACCCAATCCGGACGCCATTTAAGGTGGTTGAAATCAATTTGGACCCAAAACGAGGCGTATGAGCTCCATACACACAGTCGCCTGTTTGCCGCTTGGTTACTGCTTGAGTGTCGCGTGTCACTCGCTTGGTGCAATGTTGCCGCATGGAAAATTTGTTTCCTTTTTTTACGCAATTTTTGATCATCTTTCTATTTAAAACATATTTTTTTGGATCCTATATATATTCCACAAAATTCTTGTCTTTTATATGACTTTTTATAAGTATTAGAGAGTTACATAATATTGTAAACACAAATATTTTGTATTCTTTCTTCATTATAATATATTCTCTATTCCTCTGTCAACTGTTATTATGTTCTTCTAGTGTTGTGACTTCTACTTCATATTGTGACGTATAATCTCGTCCTTATTTCCTAATATTGTCAATGTACGAAAAAAATATGGTTTGGCATTCCGGAGAGCCCACCAAATAATTTTTTTACATTTTGTAGACATGACAAGAGTTGTTTTTTTGTTAGGAATCCTTACGAGTAATTTTTTTTTTATCACTTCGGCACACCAAAAAAATAAAATAATAAAATAAGAAGGCAAAAGAGTTACCCACCTGAGTCCTAGCGTGGGAAGGCCCAGAATTTCCTAAATCAGGCCTTTATAGAATCTGAACTGGGCCAAAGCCACTTTAGAGGTGGAGGGGACACGTACAATGGGCTCGAGGAAACGTGATAATGGGAAAGTTTCAAAATATAATTTCAAAAATACGAAATTTGTGATTTTTTTTTAAAAATCAGGTGATCACATTGTATGATCTTTGATAAAATTTCGTGACATATAATTTAATTAAACCTCTACAATCACAATAATATATAATTTATTATCATAATCACATCATAATCACAAATCACATAATATTGCATTAACAAATATATAATTTGTGGGTTACAGTTATATATTTAGAAGCAAGACACAAATTTTTATAGGTCGGAAATTATTTAATGGTAAAAAAATTATCCAATTAACTGGTCAGAGTCACGCTTCATCTCTCCCCACCCAATCCATCGTCGGCACCGCTCAAATCGTTGTCATCACATCAAATACGTAATCCCATCGCCACCTTCACTTCAAATCCACAACCATCACATCCACCTCCTCTTGGCCACTCTACGACCATAAATTACATACAACAATAATCAATTGTTAAAATCACTTTAAAAGCCACCCAAAATACTCCAAAATCATTAAAGAAGAATCGTAAGTGGTTGAAATTTGTAATCGATCCGAGATGGAAGACTTTCATCTGATTATTCAATCGAAATCGGAGTGAAAGCCTTCAGGATTGTCATAATCCATTGATATCAAAGAGAGTAAAGGAAATTGTTCCAAGCATCATCTAAAGCAAGGAAAATTTGGGGAGAAATGATAGGTGGGGTGGTGTTGGATAAGGTAGAATATAGTATATACTTGATTTTTAAAAAGAATAAACTTAAATTCTAATTTTTAAAATGAAAAGTTAGAAAATATGGATGACCGTAATTTCCTCCCGTGGTAATTGTCGTAATGAGCCATCAATCCAATACGAAAAGTCGTAAATAGATAATAACAAAAAAGGGAAGATAGTACATACTTCAATCTTATCGTATTTTCTTCTTAAATGGCCGGTCTCAATCGGGCCATTTTTCTAAGATTCCTTGAATTTGCTAATGTCGACGAGCTTGAGAAAACTTATAAACTCGGATTATACATAGTTTCAAATTGTAAATAAAAAAAATTGAAAAATGAAAGGAATGCAAATTGGGAAAAAAAATAAAAAATTAAGAATTGGTTTTGTAATCAGTGACCTCATTGCTTGTTTCTTTATAAGATATTTCTTTCATTTGAATTCTTAAACACAAATTTTACACGTTTGGCAGTAAAATTAAATATTGCAAAAGAGGTAGTAATGCCAAACTAATTTAAATGTTTGAAAATGACTTCAATTTACTTTGCAATGCGACAAATTTTCATTCACGACAAATTATCATATTTATGTCTCATACTTTTTTCATCGTATTCTTATTCTGAAATTAACATAATTTTTTCTTGATTATGGTTTCTCTCCAAGATTTTTATTAAAATGAAATAAAAAAATTTATTTGCGCATTTTATCTTTGAATAAGCAAAACAAATAGTTTTGCAAATTGATCTTCATTCTCAAGCACGTTAACAATGTTTTTGGACTAAAATCACGATTGAGAAGTTTTTCTGATTAATAAAATGATAAAAATAAGAATACGATAAAGAAAAAAATTGACGATATAAGTGTAATAATGAATAAAAGTTAATGATCTTTAATGTAATTTAAAAAATGGGTTGTTTGACCCCTTTTTTTTTTTTTAAATTCATTTACAAAACTCATTTTCAACCATACATTTTTCAATAAAATAATATTACACGTAAATCGAAATTTTTTTCTTAATTTTTAACCACACATTTTTCAAAAATCACTATTCAAAAACGCATTTT